CGTGTGTGTGTTGGTGTCTTTAAATAAACATGTTTGCTTGTAAATGTGTTGGTGGTGGAGAGTGAAGAGGCTGTTGCTGCTGCTGCTGCTGCTGGCGTAGCAACATATCGTCAACATTTAACTCAGTCTTAAGTCCTATTTAATTGGTACTTAACATGCAAATGCAAAATGAAGCGAGAATCCAAGCAAAATTGTCCTGACGTGCGCTATCTCCCTCTCCAAGAAGACGTCTCTGCCATTTTGTGTGCGAGTGTGTGTATGTGTGCGAGCATTAAAATTATAAGTTGACTGAACGGACGAAGCAATTCAGAGCTATTGTTGCGAGCATAGAGAAAGCCGTGTGGACAGTGGTCGTTAGATGTGCATGTGCATGTGCATGTGCATGTGCATGTGAATGTGATTGTCCTGGTGACGGGCGCAGGAGACGAAGGAGCTAGGCTCGCTTGTTGGTGCTCCTTGTCCTGGCCACAATCAAATTAAATTTAATTTAATTGAAATGCAATGCAAAAATTTCGCACCAGCATAAGAAAATTGATTGATTTTTGACTATTGCAATGCTCGACTTCATGCCAGATGGAATAAATTTATCGCACACACATAGACACACACACACGCACACACACACAGACACACGTCGGCCAGTTTTTTCTCTCCGTTTACGGACGCTGCTTGTCTGACCAGCAGCAGCTATTCATTGATATAATTACAAAGTTTTGTTGGCCAGTTGATGAGCCAGTTGGAAAACAAAATCAAGAATGCGATTGCCTTGGTCGCTTTTCCGTTTGCCGTTTGGCCAAAAAGTTTTAATTTCAAAATGAAGTTTGTTTCAATGCTCAGCTCAGGCGTGGCTGGGTCTGCACAGCGGCGGGCGGGGGCGTGGCGGGCTGGGGTGGCAATAAAATAATCAAAGCGTGCACAAAAGTGCAACGAGAATTGCCGAAAAACTGGTAACAAAAGTAAGCGAAAGGCGGCAATAGGAAAATCAGGAAAATCTCTGCCAAGCAAAGCGCAGCCCGAATGCCTTTCTCCAGCAAATTTGGCAAAATATTATTATATGAAAATGGGAGCAAAAAACAACGAGATATATGCATATATATAGTACATATAGATCGAATTGCAATGATAATTTAGAAAATTTAAATTGCAATTTGAATGGAAGTGAAAAATGTGCAGTATAAAGAAATAACAGTATTTACAAAATTCCATTCTGTGCACTCTGAGCTGAATAAATTTGACATTGCTCGAGCTATTGCATATTATATATATATTAATTAATTCGATAATAATAACATCATCGAAGAATTATTAGTTTTACACAAAAACATGGTGCAAATTTTACAATATGATTATAATATATAATTGAAATTACTTGTAATGAAAATTTCCGGGAAATAATATATTGTAGATTCTGCTTTGACTATAACAATAAGCCCTTTCGCTTCCGAATGCCTTGCTCTAGAGAAACTCAGAAAATATTATTTTTGGAATGGCAACAACAATAGATGAAATACAATGCATATTTATAGATCAATTATAAATAATAATATGAATTGACGTTTCAAACCGAGAAAAGTATGTAGTCTATAGTAAAGTTCTCTAGAATAGTAATGCATAAATAGATCTCTTAATATGAATAATCTATAATTGAAAAATTATAAAATAATAATACAGATTCAGCTTTGCTTATAACAATAAGCCCTTCCGCTGTGACCCGAATACCTTGCTCTAGAAAATGTAGAAAATATTATTATTACTATAATATTAGGATGGGAGCCACAATAGATGAACAGATAATACATATTTTAAGAGCAAATTTAAATGACTACTTAGATAATATCGTTTGCATTTCATTCAAATAGAGAAGTGCAACTTTCTATGGAATAATAAGATGTATTAATATTTATAATTGAAAAATTATTATATATCACAGACTCGGTTTTGGCAATAACAATAAGCCCTTCAGCTTATACCCTACACTTGGCAGGTTGAAAAGGCAGAGTTTTCACAGAGATAGAGAGAGGCAGAGAAAGAGAGGGAAGGAGAGGGAGCGAGGAGATTTGCACCTAACTGCGGGCCAGTGCAAATTTACCTGCAAACAGTGGGATGGACGGCCTGGACGGCCTGGACGGGGCAGGACGGGCAGCAAATAGCTATTCGAAAAATAGCCAAAGTTGTGGAAAGTGGCAGCGGCAGAGGGATTCCGAAGCCAATGAAGTTCTTTGGGGCGTAATGAGCAGCTCGCAGCTCGTCGCTGGCCCAGCTGGCAGTGGCGAAGTGGGGCTGGACTTGGAGGCTGGAGACAGATACAGAGGTGGCTGTTATGCGCCATTAGGGTATAATTAAAATACTCCAGTTGCACAGCGGCTGCTGTGCTGCTGCAGCCTGCTGCCCAAATGACGAAGACGCTGACAACGACAACGGACAGCAGACAACAGACAGCGACAAAGGCAACAAAGTTGCCAATGCAAACTTGAGTTGGCCGAGGGATGAGGCGTGGCTAGTCGCTTGGCTTGAGGCTTGCGGTTGTCAACAATCGTGATTTGGTCATGAGAGCCGCAACACCTGGCCATCCATGCTCCACTCTCCCCCTCTCTCGCTCTCTCTCTCTCTCTCTCGCGCTCTCTGGGCTGTCGAGGGCTCTACAAGTCGACAAACTCAAGACACTATATGCAGATATCATATGCGGACAGCAGCATATTTACATATCTCGATTGAGCTGGCAAGTTTTGTGATGAAAGTCAATTGCAGAGTGAAATGTTTTTCTACTGATTGCCTTATGCTGCAGTTAGCAATCGATATACATACATATATATGCATATATGTATGTATAGAGACGAGCTGGGCCACATACATACACATACAGATGTGCATGCGAATGCTACATATATGTAAGCTGCCCGCCGAGGGCTTCTATTCGCTTCTCAACTCTGTTCATTTCATTTCATTTCGTTTCGTTTCGATTCGTTTCGTTGCATTGCGTTTGGTCTGGTTTGGTTTCGTTTCGTTTTTGCTCAGCCCAAAAGGAAAAGTTTGCACTTGAAGTAGTTTTTTCCTTTGGCTTGTTTGTTTTCTGGTTTTGTGTGTATTACTTTCGATGCCTCGCTCGCCTCCGTTTTGCTGTTGTTGTCGTCRTCGTCGTTGTTGTTGGGCCTGATGCAGCGCCCGTCTGGCAAACAGTTAAGCACTTAAGTAGCATTAAAGCAATCACGATGGTCCAAAGGATTGCCAGTTACGGCCACGGCCAACTGGGAACAGCAACAGCAACAGCAACAGCAACAGCAACAATATTCAACATTCTCGATGATGAATTTTTTCTCTTTTTCTTTGGCCATATTCTATCATATGTGCGTGCGTGTGTGTGTCTGAGTGAGCACTGCAATAATTGCATATGCATGTTTATTACCTGCAATGCGAGATAGGTAAGTGCAGATCCCTAAGCCTGCAACTCTAGTTGACTTCCAAAATAATTGGCGGGATTTTAATTGAAATTGTGCATTGTGCATGCAGTACTTAGTCAAATAACTGGCACACTCACACACTCACACACCCACACGCACACGCACTCACACCCGCACACGCCAAGCTAAAGAGAAACCTTTCGCAAATATTAATTGAGCGCAAATATTTACCAGTAAAGAGTTATGCATGGCCCACAATTGACAGGCATGAATCATTGGTCGATGTTGGCTGAGCTTCCATAAATGCGATACAATTTATTTGATGCCCTTCCGTATGTTTAGGTTATTAATCTGCCCAACAACAGTGTGAGTCTTACTAGGCGCTCACGCGGCGTATGCGCAATTTGTCAATTTGGCAAATGGCAACTGTCAGAGCGCCGTGGCGGCAGCTGAAATCTGTTGTTGTGCACTTATTTGCCAATCGTTTTAGGTAAATTTGTTATTGTTGGCCCTTCATCATGTCGGCTGGCAATAAAAGGTTAATATTGCCCCACTTTAGGGCCAATAAAACTGCTCGGCTTGCGAGCGCGTCTGATATGGTCGTTATCAACTAAGTCGAGGATGAAAACTCCAAGTGAACAATTGAATCTCGAGTGGAGTAGAGCGTAAAGTATAGTTGTTAAAGCTAGTTAAATATACCTTTAAGCTATACCCATATACATATGTACATATTTTGGTATACAATCGCTGTAATGGCGAATCAGAGAGCTCCCATAAGGCTTACTTTACTCAAAAGATAAACATACCTGATAAGATATTTTGAATATTCCGGATTTCTGACTGGCTCTCTGGATATTCTGTGATATCTGATTGGGGTATCTTATTAGCTAATCTGGCTATTTATTGATATCGGATAATATGTTCTGGATATTTTTTGAATATTGATAAATTAATCTGGATTTTTCAGGAGGTCTAATATATTTATTATTCTTCTATGATATCTGATTGCATTTTCTAGATATTATTGCCGATTTATATTCTAAGATATTTAACTAGATAATCATGTGTATTTTATTAGCTAATCTGTATATTCCAGGATATCGGATTTATCCTAGATATTATTGGATATTTATACGTTAATTAATATGCTATACTGGATACTTTTGGATAACACGTTCATATTGTCTATTAATACTTTATGATATCTAATTTTTCAGATATTATTGATTTTTAATATTTTATGATATCTTATTGGGTTTTCTTGACATTTTGCAATATCCGGGCTATCTTATGAGTCAACTTAAATACTCCAGGATATCGGATAACTAATTCTGGGTATTCTTGGATATACATAAGATATTCAAGGATTTTGAATTCGGGATCTTTTTGGATATCTGCTAATTATATAACTTATATCTATTGTTATGGTTTTTCATGATCTGTAATTAAACTACAAGCGCTACGGAGCACTCATTCGTTTTATAAGTTTGTAATGGTCCAGTACTCCAGTACTCGGCTGAAATCTGTTCGCTGAGAAAAGCGCCACTTGAAGGAATATTTTTTAAATTTCGATTTTTTTTTATTTTTATTTTTTATTTTTAGAATGAATCATATGAGAACCAATCGACTGTTAGCACTGCTTTTGCTAGGCAGTTGGTTACTGGTGCTGGGCTTGGCTACAGCGACTGAACGGGTGGAGCGACTGCCAGTGGCTGCCAGCGATGAGCCGCACATTCGCAACAAGCGGGGCATCTTCTGGGACTTCTTTCAGAAAATGGTCATAACCAAGAATCTGATTGTCGATGTATGTGAGCCAAGCTGAATTGTACTTAACTGAATTCTTCACAAATCCATTTATTTACATTACCCGACAGCAATACACAGACACGCGAAACACTCTGAACGACATCTACAACACCGTAAATGAGCAGTTCAGCGACCCGGCTCCAGCGAAGCCGACATCGCATCCAAGAGTAACAACCGAAAAGCTGGTAAGACGCTAGATGAACAGCATTTTAAATACTCTGCTCGCATGCCTACGACGACGTAAATATCGTTAAGAATTTAGTCTACATAAGTAGATGGAAATTCATTATACTCGTTCATAACATAATAGAGTAACGTATGCCTTGTCTTCCGTCCCTTTTGAGATCAAGATTACTAGACAATTAGACAAACTTATGTTTCACTTGCATGGGCAGGTTAAAGCTGAAATTATGGAAAAGAACTTAAAGTTTTTCTGATCGATCAAGATCAAAATCGGTATAAATGTTCAGTCATTTCACTCAATTTTTTATTTTTACACACAATACCAACATCTATTTCTTTCTATTAGGCATTACCAACTAAATGTGTTATATTCTTATAAAAATGAAAGTCTATCTATCTCTTCCAACTACCGATTCGCTGAATCCCTTCTTAGGTATTCCCCAATTGAAAAATTGTTAGTTTCCCAGTTGAATGTAGTTTTGTTATTTATTCATATTATATGCTCATTATATAATTCATCATACCATATATTCCACTTGCAGCCATCCAGTGACGAAGATGATCAGACAGTGAAAACAACGACAGAGGGCTTCGCCATTTCCCGGTACGAGCTGGGCCGTATCCTGGGTCGTAATTTCCGCGGCGTACAGCGCCTGGCCCAGATCGAGTTCAAAGACGCCCTCAATGTAAGTCGCTTGTATATGGTCGTGTATACGCCTTTATTTCGCTCTGTTTGCTCTCTTGCAGGCGACCCACTACAATCTTCAGCAATACAAAATGGAGGCGGACAAACAGTTTGCCAACAGCGTGGGCGTCGAGAAGAAGAACAAGCTGAAGAGTCTCGGCCTGGGCTGAGCCCAGAGCTCCCCCGACCTTTCTTTTCCACTGCCCCAATTGTTGTAGTTGTTGTTATATAAATTGTTTCTTTGTGGGCGTTGATAGCGCGTTAATTAACTCACCTGTGTACATATGTTACGGTTGTTACTATTTCTAACTTATAAGTAGCCTAGAAGACCCATTAGAACTCAAATTACCAGAGCTAGCATAAGGCCTTGTACATATCTCTGATTATGACTATTTATTGTACAAATTTCCATCGAATAAACTGCGTTGAAGGGAGCTAACAGCTAGTGTACATAGATCTTGTAGATTGTTCTGGTTTCTATAACAATTATTTTTGTGTTTTGGCTGAAGGTTTCTAACTCATCTATGAGGTAAGTGTTGCAGCCTGGACTATGGTGACTTGTATAAGCAAGAAAATGAATATCAGGTAAGCTATAGATGATAAATGTATAGAATCGAATAATTTTAAAATAATTCACAGCTTAAGCACTACAGCTTCCGTTCTAGTTCTAGCTAATAGAATAGTCTAGGTCAATCCCTAGAGCCCCTACGAAAGTGTTACATTTGAGGAGTAAAGCTCAAAAGCTGCAGAAAGTACAAAAGGTATCAGTGGAGCTCAACAGCAACTCAAAAATAGAAATTTTGGCTTTCAGCTCTTAGTCGGATTTGTCACGCCCCCTATAGTCTTAGTTTGTAGAGCAAAGGACTAATTTATAATAGTTTAGAAATTAATGGCAATATTTCTAGTGTGCCAGATTACTGATTTTCACTCATCTGTATGAGTCCGGGCAGACAGACGGACGGGTGAACGGCAGAAATAACAAATAACAGACATGAGTTAAAAAAATAAATAAATAAGTAAAATAAAATATCAGTGAACTATTAAAATTCCTCAAAATTATTAGCTGAAAAATAAGATTTTGTTGGCCCCTTAAATAAACATAAAATGTTTTTTATACTCATTCACGAAAGTGAATCAGTATATTGGTTTTGTGCAATGTCCGTCTTGCTGTCCGTCTTGCTGTCCGTCCGTCTGTCCGTCTGTCCGTCCGTCCGTCCGTCCGTCTGTCCGTCTGTCCGTCTGTCCGTATGAACGCAATCTATTTCGGCGCTATTGAAGCTAGAGACTTGAAATTTGGAACACATACTCGTGTATATCTCCGATTTATAAAGTGTTAAAATTTTCCCGATCCGCCCACTAGGGGCGTGGCAAATCGGAAAATGCATTTTCCGATATACCAGAAATCATGTTTGTTGAAGAGCTAGAAAGCTGAAANCTGAAGATATAGTGATTTTTCGAATTCTGCTATATTTTAGGCACTATTGATGCTAGAGATCTGAAATTTGGTATATATACGCGGGTTGATCGCCCAAGTCCAACGAGCTATGGTAGATATATGTCCGCCCATAGGGGGCGTGGCAAACCGCAAAAATTTATATCTCCTAAAGCATAATAGCTAGAAGCTTCAAATTTGGATAGTTGAGTTACTGGTAGCCTCCTCTATCGATTCTCCAAAAAATAATTTTTACGTCTCTTTAGGGGCGTGGCATATCGAAAAATACCCTGTAATTTTCACTTTTTTGAGAGTAAGCATTCAAACTTTGCAGTTAGGGTACTGTTATCTCGTTCTAGAAACTAACCAAAAATTAGGTGTCTACGCCCAGTAGGGCGTGGCAAATTGGAAAAGCCTCTATATTATACAGTATTAGAGTGAAACTTAACTATAGTTGATGGGATGTGAATGAGTATTCCGCAGTCGGTAACGCCCGACTGCAACGTTCTTACTTGTTTTTTTATGATATTTTGAAGCTCATAAGCATTTTCTGTGGAATACTTTGTCTCTTCATTATTCGCCTTGAAGTATTCCAGTATAAACTGCTTAAACTTATGGCATGCTCGGAGCGAGTGTGGGAGGCGTGTGGGTGGCTCTGCTCGCCCGACTTCAAATTGGAGGATTGTGTGTTGCCTTTGATTTATGTCAACAGCTGTAACGCAATGCTTGAAATGCAGTCTTAGGAACAAGGAGCAGCTGCAGGCGGATCGAATCGATGCGATTCGATTCGATTCGATTCGGCTCGAATCGATGTTCGTGCAACTTTGCAGACGTTGCAGGGAGCGTGGACAGCGGCCGCAGCCGGTGAGGAGCTGACGGCCTGTGACAGCGTTGCGGGCGAGGTCAGCAGGCGGTGCTGAAAGCGGACAGACTGCTGATATGCATCGCCGGCCGGCCCGAGGCGCTTGCCATTGGCAGAACAACAGACGCAACCTGGCACTCATTATCGGCGTCAAAGTTTTTGGCCAACGTACTTTCGAGACAGGCATCTCATGGGCATCGAATTATGACACTTTTAGTGGTTTTTGCTAACTATGCGAGTTGCCTTCTGCCACTCGGGACTGCCGCAGAGTGCCACACAGACTGGCTCCGTCTTTTGCTCTTGCCTTTGCTCCTGCTCTTTGGGTTTATTTCAAACTTTACTTCGATTTCACAGCCAAGAACAGCAACATTGTATGTGTGTGTGTGTGTGTGTGTGTGCACATGTACAGGCATAAAGGAACCGCATTGTGCTTATGTGTGAGAAATATTTATACCCTCTAGAACACCTCTGGCAGTAGGAAGTAGCTGCTTTGAATGACGTATTTGCAAAGATGCAGCAATCTATGAAATGAACTATTCCTTCATATTTCTCTCATTCAATATCTGATCTTTATTTTCCATTATGTAATTCCGTATCCATATCCTCAAAGTCTTCCCTCCCAGAGTTCACTTCGCAAAGTATTCAGTATTTTATCTTTGTTGTTCTACATTCATGCAGGGTATTTTCAAGTCTCTCTAGTTCTAAATACTCCTTACCGTGCCTTTTGTTTTGGCTTATTTTTCCACAAGAGTGCCTCAGTGGCAGCAGCACAATCACGAAGTCAGGCTTCGATTACCAGCAGCAGAGGCAAAAAGTTTTCTATTTTTTGTTTTCATACGTATATCATTTTAATTAATTTCGTTTTTGTCATTTATGAGGGCTTTCTTTCTTTTTTTTTTCGAATGAAGTAGCACTCCAAAGGTTAAAAGTCATTCGCAATATGGACGACTTAGAACTGCTTTTAGCCGTAGGTCAACTCTGGCTAATGGAGCCACATGATATTTATTTAGAGCGATTTCCATATTGGGTTAAGTGCATTTCCTAGTTGAGAACACTTCACATAATCACTTCAATTTATGAGAGTACTGTCATTTTGCATATTGATTTTGGCTATTGTTCGTTCAAGCGCTTCAAAAAATTATGTATATATATGTACATATATATACATACATGCACTTTCGGACTCTTTGGAAGTTTTTGAAGAGATGCAAATTGTGGTAGATTCTCATATGTAGCTTTGTCCAATGGTGTTCGAGTATGCAAACTGTAATATTACTCCAACTGAAACAAGTAAGAAAGCTCCAGTCGAGACTGCTCGACTAGGAGATACCCTGAACCCTCTAAGCTGATATTCTAATCATTCTGCACTTCCTTTATGCACACATACATACAGATGCATCCACACGCACGCATAAGCCTGCGCTCTGCTAACTGCGCAGTAAGCAGCGACTGCGCTTGGGCTGCGCTGCAGTGTGGGCAATATTATGAGAATTTATTTGTCGAATAATTTCTTTTGTAAACATATGATCTTAATGAAACTTTCAGAGTGTAATCATATGGTAAATATGTGTGTACATTCCAAAGCACAAGTCTCTAGTACTTGAAATGCGTTTTTTACAAATTGGGGGAGAAGGGGGCGTGGTANTCCTCAGCGAGAGAGTATACTTGCACACCACAAAAATCAAAGATTCAAGAGAGGCAAATACAACAACCGTAGATAGTGAGAGCAACTTATGCACACACTCACACAAACTTAGAAAGAGTGAACTGGGGAGAGCGCCAACAAATAGAAACACTAAAGCAGAAATGCAAATAATGAAACTAATGAACCGACACTGCACACAAAGCTTCACAAATTAAAAAAGCAAATTATTAAAAACACAGTGAACAACGGATCAAACCTTGCACAGGAAAATATAGATATTTGCTATATACAACCGAACCGCAATTATGTGAAATTTAATAAGAATAATTAACTAAGAAAACAAGAATAAYTRAAGAGCACAATAGTAAACACGTCTGTTAACTCTCACTGAGAACTCTCACTTGATCCTGGCACGTGAAGAAGTCTTTTCTGTTTTTTCAGTGTGAATGATTCAATGTTTTCAATTTATGTTAAGATCTTAATCGCTTCCATCTTGATCATGTATAACTCTAACATGCTGTACGTAATTTAGTCAGCGACAAATGTCATTTCACTTCAAAGCTGTCGCAATTAAACTCAATTGTATATAAGTGTCATATGAATCATATTTGTTATGTGTGAATTTTTTAATTTTTTTTTTTTTTTTTTTTTTTTTTTTTTTGTACACTTGTTAATTTAATGGCACATTAAATATTAAAGCTTGCAAACTGGAGAACTTGATCACTTGTCATATATGTTTTGTTTTGTTTTTTTTTTTTTCGTTTTTTTTTTTTCAAGTGGCATTAAATCCGTCAAAACGTTTAGCTATTGTTGTATATATGTATACACACACACACACTCATGCACACATGTCCATCTGTGTGTTGGCAACAAATTATACCATTTGGCTGTTAGATAGCATGACAAACATATGCATATACATATATGTATGTATGTATGTAAATATATATATGTATATATGTATATGCGTATAGCATTTGTACAAACTACTTATAATTGCTGTAATTACTTCACGTGCAAATGGACATATGTACGTGTATGTGGCGGGCTACCTCTATGTATATGTATGTGTATATGTGTTTACATTTGTATGCATAGTGTATGTTGAATTGTGTCGATTAAAACTAATTGAAGGTTGACAGCATCAAATGCTACAAATAATATCAACAACTTTAATCATAAGCGAATCAATGTAAAAATAAAGCAGAAACAAAGCCTATTCATCAATCATCCTGCTTAGAATATGTTATATATAAAGTGATCGACTTTTATATACTCTAGGCATACTTTTTATTGGTCGCGCTTTAGACTCGGCTAACTTCTAGTAATAATTCCTTAGCTCCAAATGCTTTATTCATTATTCATTCCACCTTGCGTGATAATGCTGTACATACATATATACGCATGTATGTATATGTATATTTAGCATTAAGCTTGAGTAGACTTTAAACTAATTTACATTTAAGCCTACAGTGAATAAGCCCTCAGTACTCGACTCAGCTGACTCAACACGGCTAAGGTCAAGCACTTTTATTGTTCAACTCAGCCAAAGGCTAAATCTGATTATGCATTCCCGGCTACAATGACCCCCGGAACCGAATCCCAATGCTGGGCAACAGCAACGACAAGGGAGCGAGGCGGAGCAGGAGGGTATTGCAAAATCAAAACATTTCAGAGGCAAATACTAAAATATGATTACAAAATAGCGCGAGCCCGATTCAATCAAATCACGCAAAGCTAATTAACACTTTAAGCTGTTGCACAACCAGCCACTGACAATGGAGCGACAGGAACTACATTAACTATGACAAGTGGGAACATTTCACTCGGCTTCCACTCGATGCGCTTTAGCAAAACATCTTCGAAACTGACAGTCGAGCCGTCTGCAGGTGCCGTTGCGCCGATTCGATTATTGGTGACTTAATTATGTTACCTTGCATTCGGCATTGAGCAAATCTGGGAAGTTGATTATCCAAGACGTGCTCAACAGAGCGCATTTTGTTATTTAAATTTACTTTTTCCTGTTTGTGTGGCCAAGTTCTGGAAATAGTGCATTAGTCAACCATTTTTGTGAGTAATAGTCTTCAATCTTTAGCTGGCCTGCACCGTCTTTATCGATTAGATGACGAGATATAACGGACAGTAAGTAATTTTTGAGAGATGGATAGAGAAGAGTCCTGGAGAGTTCAGATTTTGCATTTATCGAGCAATTTTGGATCCAGATATATTTCTGCAGTTTGAAATGCCCAAAGACACGCCAGAGATGTCTCTGAATCTAAAATTATTCTTATGAATCGCTGAATCAGATAAGATTCTATTATCTGATTCAGCGATTCTTGAGATTCTGTTGTCTTAATTTTTCTATATACAAATTGTCAATAGATGCAAAGTATAGGCTCCAGAACCTTTATCTGCGTAGGATCATATGTGACCATTTTAAATCCACGTTAGATTCTGTTGGATCCATTATAGATCGATAAAAACTGTTGTTTGCTCTAGGTCTATAACTGTTAGGTAAATGAAAACAACATACGGACAGACGTACGGACGGACAGACGGACAGGGCCAAATCGAATCAGCTCATCGCCCTGATCAAGAATATATATACTTTATGGGATCTGCCACGTCTCCTTCTGGCTGTTACATACATTTAACAAAATCATTATACCCTGATTTCCCGTTATCAATGGGTTCAGGATATAATAATGTCTATTAAATATGCACGCTTTGCAAGTTCTCAGTGATCATCGTTTGTCGACTTTCAGCTAGAGCTTTATACGATAAAGATAAACAAGGTGCAATGATGATCAGAAGATCGATATCATATAAATCATATTTGCTTGTTCTAGTTAGAGATCTTCATCGAAGATTATAATATAATGTAGAGAAAACGCGTTTGGAAGACGGTACTAAGAAATTTACTAAATTGGTTATTCAAGCCATCAACAACCACTGCATATATCATCCGATCCATAAGCGATCTGAAACAGTACTCTTCTGTGAATATATACATACATATATGTACTCTCAAACTACACTTAGCCCCAAATCTGATCCAACAACACCGTACAAAATTAGAAAACTCGATTCATCCTTATCTACCGTCCGTAAGAGTTAACTTCGCATAGCCCAAACGCCAACAGTGCTCTAGCTGCCTTTGATCTTAACGAAGAAATCACGAAGATCATATAAGTAAACAAAAACTAATTTTGATTCAGGTTTTTTTTTCTTATTTTAGAACAAATATCAAAAACAAAATAATATATTGGAGAATGAAAAAAAAAAAAAAGAGAAGGGTTAGCTAAGTCAACAACAAGTAAGTCCTGTATATATGGGATTTGGTCTTGCGTAGTATTTATCCAGCTGAAAGGTAAAAGCAGAAAGCATTTATTGTTTTTGGTGTCAGGATAGTTGCAGTCAGGACTTACCAATGGGTGGAGCGTTGCCCACAATTTCAGCTGGCACGGTTGGCGCAATGGGCGCCAGGGGCACGCGCTCCGTCGGCGCGTCGACTTGGGCGACGAGCGTGCTCTTGGGCGTGGAGGCATCGTCGGTGAGGCGGTGCTTCAGCTCCTTGTACTTCTCGACCACGGAGCTGCCAAGTTCCTTGGCGCCTTCGCCAATCTTGTCGGTGTAGGGCTTGGCCGCATCGGCGACGTCCTCGGCGCCCTGCTTCACCTTGCAGCCGATGCTCTTGAAGAAGTTCTTGAAATCGCTGTCCTCCGGATTTTTGACCTCGTCGCAGTCGGCGGCGCGCGCTTGGCCACTGAGCAGCGCCAGGCAGAGCAGCGCGCAAAAGATGATTGTTGATTTCATTTCGGCGTTTGTTTGTTGCTGGACTGTTCTCCACGAGCTTGGCAATGCGACTGAGCGACGCAAAAACTCGACTCGCAATCGTACGGGGCTGCTTAGATTAGCGGGCTATACCGGTTTATCAGCGTTTCGTGGAACTGCCCCCGGTTGGTCCCGCTCTTCGACAAGCCCTAGCTCCGCTCCGACGTTTACTAATTAATAGACCCGAGAGTTTCGATCGTACACACACATGTCCGTACCTGGCATACATACATACATAAAATCTTGGTTTACTTGGAACGCAAGCCAGGGCTAATCTGTCTTGGCCTCTGCCTCAGAATAATCCCAGCTGACCTATAGCAAATTTGTAGAAATGCGACCGAGACTGAGCGCAGCTAATGAGAGAAACTCAACGATTTCAAAATATTCTTTCACCATTGACTGACCCTGGAACCAATGCGGTAGTTTGAGAAATTGCTTATAGAGTGCCGATCAACGTCAGCTTCGATATTGACTCTAATCAGTTGATCAGGCTATTAGAGACCTCATATACTGCGACTTGTACATCTGATATTATCATTGAATGATCTCCAATTGCCTGAATATGGAATTGGTTGCAAACGGTCCGCCGTAATTGACGAAGTTGAACGGACAGATGCGATAATTGACGCTGTTTAAGACTGGAAACTTCTGTACATATCGAAAATATCAAAGATTTTCGAGACTGTATCTTTAAATACACCCACTCATACATATACGTGGACATAGTATCAAATGATCCGGCGTAAATGATAAAGTTGAACAGAAATACACTAGATGGCGCTGTTTAACAATGGAAACTTCTATACATATCCGAAAGGTTAAAGATTTTCGAGAATATATCTTGAAATATTTGCAAATGTACATGAAATATAAATTTACATATATATGTATGTATGTATGTATGTATGTATGTATGTATGTATTTATGTATGTATGTACGTATGTATGTATAGCTATGAATGAATATGTACAATATGTACACATAGTATGCATACATATTGTATATATGTAGGCACGTATACATATGCATATGTTTATGTATGTATATTTACGATACATAGGTACATATATTATACATATATTATAATGCATTGCCTACAGGGATATTCACAGATAAAAAGAGAATACTTGTTTACAGGGTATCTCTTTGTCGTACACTCGAGACCAGAGTGCACTTACTCATTTATTACACGTTTGTCAAAAAAAAAAAAAAAAAAAAAAAAAAAAAAAAAGAAAATAAAATCATGTGTTAGATTGTGATTCACACCGTTTGACATCTAAGACTACGAGTACATTTCATTAGCAGTAATCTAAAACTAGATAAATAAATATATGTATGTATATATAAATTGTGTATGTATATGTAAATTCGCTGTGGCAGGCGCGTCTACTTGAGCGGCTCTTGATTTGTAATTTCATTCTCAGCCTCATTGGGAGCGAGGCCGTTCGCTGGCGATTCTGTGGAATGCGTCACCTGTCCAAGCTCCACATCGGCGTCTGCCACAGCGTCGCGCTCCGTGCTCTCAGTGGGCGTGGCTAGGGTCGTGTGCTTGCCGGGATCAGCGCCTGCCGAGGGCTTCCTGTTGGCGACCGTGCTGAGCAGCGAGTCAATCAGATCCCCGAAGCGATTGACGATGCTCAGGCCGACGCGCTTGGCTGTCTCCTCCAGGCGCTTGGCCTCCGTCTCCAGGTCCTCAATCCAGGGCTTGGCCTTCTCCAGCGTGCACTGCACATTGTGCAGAAACTGATTCACCTCGCTGGGCTTGGGCGTCACCTCGACGGACTCCGACGACTTGACACTCGCCTGCCCATCCGATCCGCAGATAATGGGCGCGGCCTGCAGCTGCCCGAGGCAGATCGCCAGCAGGAAAAGCAGCAGCATCCGCGTCTGAGTCATCATTCCAACTGCACCAAAGTTTTCTTTATAGTCGGAAATAATTGCTCTGGCGTCTGGCGTCTGAATTGTGGTGTCTGGCGTGTGGCGTGTGGCGTGTGCAGCAATTGAGACCAAAAACCTGACTGAAACTTGTTTGCAGCCAGCGGCAGCAATGGGCTGCCCAAGCTTGGCTTTCAGCTGCAGATGGGTTACAGATCGGTCGACGGCAAGCTTTTTAAGAAAGTCGTCAAGCCAGTAAGACGCCAGACAAAGCCAACGAGAACTTTCAAATCGGGTGCAATCGACCAGCAAATACGCTGCTCCAGGAATGTTCGAGCAAAGCGAAGATTGGCCGCAAGATCTGCGGAAGGCAGCCAACCTAAGCATATACCGAATATTCATTATAAAATCTTCAGACCATGCTTGGGCCAGAAACCAATATACTCTGCTTGCTGCGAGCCAGTGCACGCAAAGGGAAGTCTGGACTGGGACTGCAAGCAAATACACTCGAGACTCTCAAATTGTTCTTTAGATAGGGTTGGCGACCTCATTTACGATCGACGGGAATGACGAATGGATCTTAAAACAAGCCAGCCAAGCCAAGCAGCTGGCCATGCCAATTGAAGAATATGCTGATGGCGTACCTAATTGGATAAAGACATATCGTGTCTAGCGATAATACGCATAATCAACTCTTTGATTATACTCAATTGTCTAGCTGTAAATGGCTAAAGTGTGGCGGACGCACAAACTACTTTTACTCCCTTAATCCGATAATCGAAAATGCAATTTTGATTACAATATACAACATTGGCACGCTTGCCTACGACTCGACTAGCGAATACTCTGCCCCAGTACTTAGAGATGGCGATGGAAGTAGACCTAAAAGCCGTCTCTCTGTGATATGATATGATACCCATACAGAGAAATAAAAACAATTAGCTCTTTATGTTGCAAAGCGCTTGCTTTTATTTTTACTTAGAAAACAAAACAAAAAATAAAAAAATAATAAACACACAAAAAAAAAAAGAAGAAGCATCGACTTCGAGCGGCTGATTTACTTCCTTAACTTGCTGCAGTTGCCCAAGGCGTCCAGGATGTGTCCGTGTCCGCACTGCTGCTCGCCCTTGAGCAGGTCCGGATTGATGATCTCGACGTTGGCCAGGAAGCCGCGATCTTTGCTCATGTCCTCGGCCGAGTCCTTGGACAGCTTGTCACGGAAGTCGGCGATGCGATCGCTGATGTCGCTGCCCAGGTCCTTGGCGCGCTCGCCCAGCTTCTTGGCGCCCTCCTTGATGTCGGAGCCAAGATCCTTGGCCCTCTCGCCCAGCTTCTTGGCGCCCTTCTTGATCTGGCAGCCGACGCTCTTGAAGAAGTCGCGCACCTCATGCTCCGAGCTGCTGCTGCTGCCCGTCATCTCCGAGAACTTGTCCCCGATCTCGGACAGCACGGCGGGCACCTTCTCCTCGCAGTCCAGCAGATCGGCCTGGCTGTGGGAGAGCCCCAGCAGGAGCACCGTCAGCACACCAATTACAAATAACTGTCGCATGTCGATTTATTTAATTTGAAGAATAGCTGCTATAATCCCGTTGTCGTTAAGTTCCTGAGGCGCCCGTTTCCACACTGAACCCGACAATTGACTGCGCTTGACTGGCTGCGAGCGAGGACTGTCCACGCGTTTTATCTACTGCCTCGGTAGTGGCAGCCGAGGCACAGTAATAACACTATAAATAAAGGCCACAACAACAACAACAGCAACAACAGCCACACCAACAACAATGGCGATCGTATAACAAGTCAGCCCCGTATTTGTGAAAAATTGTCGCCATTTGTTTGTTCGTCTGTTTGATTGTTGCCCAGATGCCTTCGCCTTTCCGCTTAATTCAATTTATTGCCTGACGCCAAGTCGCAGCCGCAGTCGCAGTCGCAGTCAGAGTCGCTTGTTCGCTTTTCTTAATTCACGAGTGCAAATTCAATTACAGACTCTACAGCAACATCAACCTAATAACAATCAAGAGTGCTTCCCGCTTGCCCGATGACTTCCAGCTGCAGCAGCATCCAAATATGCCTACCTGATCTCAAGCGTCCAAATATGCCGTCATATATATACTATAGATTACCTTATCTAAGCTCTCCAAGTCTGAACAAAACAAAAAAGCAAAAACTGTGCACAGCTATGCCAAATCTATTCGCAGCTTAGCCTTTTCTTCGCATCCGTATCTGAACTCTGATAAGGCAGCGCCTCAGACCTGTAGATCATCATATAGAGCGTATCTAGCCTATTCATATCTCTTGGCACACTCACTCAGCGTTTGTTTATGTTCGACGGACTGGGATAATCATCAAATATATCTTTCTACGCTCTGCTGACGCACTCACTTGAGTCCAGTTATGATTTTGTTTATACTAGGCAAGCATGATCAGAGCTACGCACGAACGTTCTATTTGTCACAATCCAGTTTTCAATGCGCTCAACTAGACGCACTTCTCGACAAACCACTGCCCGATTTGATGATACCCTAATCCTGCTTTCTATTATCATTCCACGTACGTATCTAGGAAACTGCGCAGTTTGCGCAGCGGCTGCGTTGCTTCTGTATACAGTGAACTACGGCTAAGTTGGTGATTATGAATCCCAACAAAATTTGATTCATATTTTTAGGATCATATGCAGTACGTATGCACCAAAGCCCCAGGTTCTATTTATATTCATTTATACGTATATGTGAACGTGAACGCCTGGTTCATCAAATGTCATGCATTTCTGTTTACTCACTGTATTTATATTTATTTATTTATTTACATATATGAACACCTGTTTATCAATTTTCATAAATTCTTGTTTACTCACTGTCAAATGGGAGAGCAGAAAAAATAAAAATAAAAATCCAAACAAAAAACAAATTAAAGAATATTTCCTTTATTTGCTATTTGTTCTCCATACTGAGTCAGTGTCTGAGCACTTTGAGTTCCCTCTCTTTTCAATATTGTGATTCTGCTTATCACACGTACAGCCCACTAGTTAAGCGAATCCTAATTTGTGTACATAAAGGTTTCAAGGACTGAAAGCTCTGGGCCATCTTGTAACCGATCGCTTGAGGTGTTCAGAAGCAATTGTAAATTGCAATATTTTATTATTGTATTTATTATTAATTCATCTGAATTCATGATTATATGCAATCCGACAGTTAGATACAAAAATTCACAAATACAAAGACATGATGAAATTCAAGGTGAGCGCATTATATTTATAATTAGGAACAAGAGGTTACTAAGAGGAAGGACCCTATTTGGTCATATCGTTGCCGCCAATGCTGCCGCTGGGATTCGTGTAGTCGGTGATATCCAGACCGAAGTCAGCATCCGGGTCATCAACAACATCCTCGTTATCCTCCTCGTCGTCCCCCTCTAAGACGTACGCGTCTTCCGGCTCTTCGTCGGGCGTCTTATCGATCTCCGTTGAGAGCGTTTCCAGCAATGGTATATCGGTTGTGGTGGTGGTGGTGGTGGTAGTGGTGGTGGTGGTGGGGGTGGGCTTACCGGTGGTAGTTGTGGTTGTTGATGCTGGTGATCTGTCGCCGCGCCAACTGTTGCTTGGCTCACGGTGGAACTTGATGCCTGTCGTGAAAAGAAATGTAAAGGTCAAAAGGCTTCACGGTCAATAGTTGCTCTGGTGACCCACTCACACTGGGGCAATGTGGGCTCAAAGTCGCATCGTATGCGCTTTGTCATTTCGATGTCGTCCAACCACTTGATCTTTTTGGACGGCGGCGTTGGGCGGCGCACGACGTAAATCTCGCGCACCTCGTACACCTCCAGATCCGGATTCACGGCAGACGGACGATGACGTACGTAGCGCTTATACTTGACAGGATTGGGGGGTATATCGGCCGGATATGCCGCCGACTCTAGCAACAGGCTAAAGCCGCAGAGCAGCATTAGACCAAAGAAAGTTGACAGTTTCGCCATTGCTGCAGTATGTGAAGCACTGACTCAAGAACCGCCGCTCGTTGACTTCAATCGACTTGGTTTCCTTATCAAATGAGATGTTGACCACAACAGGGTCCGATAACCCATTGACCCAACGCCGAATTAACAGGCACTGCATACTTTTGGGCTGACGTTTTAATATACATATGCATTTCCAATAACTACAGCAGGTAATTAATTCGACTTGGTGCGATTTGTTGTTTTCTGTTTTCTTTTGGCTTAAAAATGTCAAATAAATCGAGGCAAGTGAATACGAAATACTCCAACTAGGCTCAGGCATAGTTCAAGCTGTCGTGTCCGGAATTAAAGGCAGATTTTGAATTATCAACAAGAAAAAACAAAACTGAAACCCTTGGAAATGGGATATCTGTCTATACAAAACTGCACAAGGCGTATCAGACTATTAAGTACTTGTAGCATTGTCCGAATTTACCAAATATCGAAATCACCAAAAAACACGTTCAGCAACATCCCTTTTTCTCTCTTTCTATGTATCTCTCCCTCTCTCTCTCTTTCTCTCTGTTTCTCTCTATCTCTTTCTGTACCTCGCTGCCTGTCTCTGTCCCACTCTCTAGCTCTCTCTTTATCCCTTTCCAATTATCTCACTCTCTCTCTCTCTCTCTCTCTCGCTCTCTCTCTCTCTGAATCTCTCCCTATCTCTCTCTCTCTCTCTCTCTGAATCTCTCTCTATCTCTCTCTCTGTATCTCTCTCTCTCTCTCTCTCTGTGTCTCTCTCTCTTTCCCTATGTCTATCATTTTCTGTATATCTCACTCTCGCTCTCTCTCTCTCTCTCCTCTCTTTCTCTCACTCTGTCTGCCTCTCTCCTCCCTACTCTCTTCCCATCACTCTACCCCCGTCTCTCCCTTCAACTCTCTCGTTATCACTCCACTACGATTCAATACAATCTTTAAGCCTTAGGCCCACGCTATAAGCTATATTATAATATAGTCATATAAAATGTCAGGAACTCATTTATCGAATATTGATGTTTTAGCAATAAATATGTATGTTGAAATTGCTTTGTCTGAGTCTCGCAGTTCTTAATCATAGATCAAGTCAGCTGCTCTATTATACAACATTTTCATTCAGGGTTCAGCGGCTCTCACATACAATATGTATTTTCAATCAGTATTCAATTTAAGTCAGGGAACTAATAAGTAATATTTTTATATTGAAGCAATTCATTTAGATTTAAAAGTTACTTTACCAAAAGTTAATACCAATAGATTTGATAGGCTGGCGCAAGGTCTATTTATCCTATATGCCCTAGCCCGCTTCAAAGGCTGCAGGGTATATAGAGATTCATTTTAAGTCAAGCGCATCGTGCTGCATTTGTTTTGCAATAGTTTGATCGCATTGCCCAATGTACAGGAAAAGGTACAAGAAATTATCTACTTCCCCAAATCGCATCGCGTTGCACGTCACTGTCAATAGGCAGCGAGTGGGCAGTTGGCTGTCAACGGCGCATTGGAAGGGCATGATGGGCCTGTTCATTAATTTGGCGATCTTTCAGCAGTAGCTGCGCTCACCGGTGTATATTGGGTAGTCTAAAAAGTTTTTTCGTATTTTGCCAATAGATGTCGTTGGCGTC